AGATGTTGAGACATGAATAAAAGCATGCCTGTGTGGAGATTTAGTCGCAACTGTCAGAGGAATGACAGAGAGTGTATGCTTGGAGAGATCAGGAGGCCACGCTTGCAAATGAAAATCCTCTCTGGAACCTCTTGCCAAGCCCTGTCCCCGAGAACAGGATGAGCTCTGGCATGGCTCGGAGGTGCTTGATTCATGGGCCATTTCTATCTCTCTGGGGAAAGCTCCACGTGAACGGCATTTTGGAGCCTGCCTCTGGTGATGTTATGATTTATATTTCCCAGATCAGGCGGTAGCTGGGCTTCTTGCAGGGTCCCTGGGAGAGATGCTGGTAGGGTATGTGGGCACCATGCTGGGCAGGTGGGTACCTGCTGCCTGCCTCTGAACTGCTCTCTCTCTCCAGCCCCCCTCTCAGCCCTTGCCAGGACTCATCCCTCACTGTCCTGCAATTAGGTCAGCTTTTACTGACTTTGACCTTTTGCCCTCACTTTTCTCCATGACTGTGATGATATAAACCTCAACCTTCCACTCAACTCCAGGCAGTGGACTAGGGAAGGGTCCAGTCAGGACTCTGGCTGAGGGTACGTGCCAAGTCAGGGGCCAGGAGCAAGAACAGATTCCTCTCCCTCCCTCAAGGGTCCAAGAGTAGAAAGGACCAGGGACGGAAGTGCAAGCCAGAACCCTTAGGCCTAGAGAACCATGAGGAAAGAGGAGAGAGTGTGGTGGTCCAGTCCACTCAACTCCAGGCAGTGGACTAGGGAAGGGTCCAGTCAGGACTCTGGCTGAGGGTACGTGACAAGTCAGGGGCCAGGAGCAAGAACAGATTCCTCTCCCTCCCTCAAGGGTCCAAGAGTAGAAAGGACAAGGGACGGAAGTGCAAGCCAGAACCCTTAGGCCTAGAGAACCATGAGGAAAGAGGAGAGAGTGTGGTGGTCCAGTCGAGGGAGCAGGACAAGAGGCAGGGTCAAACGGTCCAAAGATGGGTGGACAGGACTGGAATGGAAGCAGAATGGGCAGAAAAGAGAAGCGGGATCTTAGCACCTGGTGCACCCCTAGCTTTCCAGTGCTGGGAAGCTGGTTGGTCGGGAGCGCCTCCCCTTTCCAGTCCTCCTGCCTTCCACCCAGCTCTTGTCTCCTCTCCCCCAAGGCCCTCTGGCATCCTCTCTGCTGAGCTGTGACCACCAGTTTTGCCGGCAAAGCCAGTGCTTCTCTATTGGTCCTTCTCTGTTTCAGATGGTGACCATTAGAAGAGTGGCCAAAATTAGGCATGAGTTTAAGTTCTCCAGGAACTTTTCCTCCACAACTACTGTTTGTTCATTCATTCATATTTTCATATTCATTCTTTCTTCCTCTCTTTGAGTCTCTCCCTGTCTCTCCCCCATCGACACTGGTGGTTCATTTAGTCTCTATATGTGCACGTATACATACCACTATGTAGTAACTTATTTTTTGCCTTGCACAAATTAGTGTGCCCATTTGCCACCTTCTTTGAGCTCCTCAAGGGCAGAGGCTATCTTCATTTTAATCCCAGCCCCAGCTAAGGACCTGGCACATATGGTCACACAGTTAATATGTTTGAGGGTCAGTTGGCCTCATGGCCAGATGAATGAATGAATGAATGGCACCAAAGTTTATCTTTTCTGAATCCCTCTCGGGATTCAGTAATAGAAGGACTTATTTTATTTTTTAAATTAACATACAGTATGTATTAGTCAATATCAAAGCAGGAACAAGAGACCACACAGTAATTTGAGTAGTTTAAGATAAAGAATTGTTAGCTATCATAGGGACTAAAATAAAAAGGGATTGGCTAGTAAGAAGTAAGAGAACTCTAAAGAATACTAATCATATTAGATCGTAAATGTCTTGAAGGCAGGTATAATGTGACTCTCATCTGCTTAGCCATTATAGTTCTTGCTCATGGGTCCCACTCAGTAATCATTGTTGAATCAAAGTGAATTGAATCTGTAGTGACCAGACTAGGTGTGATGTACCATCTCTAGAAAGCTGCTCAGAGAAATAAGTTCAGGGGAGTTCTTGTGCTAGGAGGTTGGGTGTCAGAGCACTCTTGGGACCCCTGCTGTATAGATGAGGCTTGTTTTGTAAATGGGAGAATCCCTTATCTGTGACATTGCCTGTTTGTTTTTCCTTTTAGTGTTAATACTTTGAAGGGTCAGGAAACAGCCCCATTAAGCATGAGATTCAGTCTGCAGCTGACAGCACGAGAGCAACTGCAAGATAATGGAGGCTGAGACCAGTCTCAGCCAATTCTTCTCCCCTTTGCAAAGCGCTGAATGACAAGCAGACTTCTCAGCTCCAAGCAGGCAGTCGCATTCAGATGATAAATGTGTCCCTGGACAGAGGAGCTTGTTGAGTGACATTTACCAGGGTCTCTGTGAAGGGCCCTCAGCTCCCAAGGGAGCACTTCAAACCTTCACCTGCTTGCCTGTTCAGCTGACATCCGTGGGGCAGTGAGAGGAATAAAACCCCGTTTGCTACTCTCCAGCATGATGGAAGCCCTGGCGATTTGTTTAGATGCTAGAAGTTTCCTGGTTTCTCTTGCTTCCTGTCTTCAGCTCCTCCCTTTTCCGGTCGAACCCCAGAGAGAAGCATGAAGCCTGTGAGAAGCTTAGAGCCTTAAAGGGGAGAGGCAGGAGGTCAGTGAGTGCCACAGTCCTAAGCTGGCTGATACCCGGCTCTGCCACCTAATGCTTTTTGACCAAGTTACTTGACTTCTCCAAACTTCAATCTCCTCAGATGTAAGATGGAGATAATAAGAGCTACCTCACAGGGTTGTCAGACACATAAAATTAAATCTGTGTAAAAATACTTTGCACATTATAAAATGCTCTCTGGCATAGGTCATTCATTCAGCAGTTCCTCATTGCATATCTACTTGTGCCAGGTACTTACTGTGCTATGTTTGAAGAGCCAGTTCTAGACTGAGGGCTAATGGCCAGGCCTTTACTGGCCATCAGCATGTCTCTGGGATAAATACCAAGTGTTTCTGTCTGGGTTCTCCAGAGAAAAAGAACCAATAGAAGATCCACACACACACACACACACACACACACACACACACACACACACACACACGAAGGTACTTCAGAAAGTTCATGGAAAGATTCATATTATCTTTTAATTCTGTATTTCCACATACTTTTTGAAGTACCTTAATATAAATAAGATATATTTATATATACTGAACATATATAAATAGAATATGTTTATATATATATATATATATATATTTACTTATATATATATATTTACTTATATAAAAAGATAAAAGGTTTATTTTAAGGAATTGGCTCACATGGTTATAGAGGCTGAGAAGTCCCAGGATGTGCAGTCAGCAAGCTAGTGACCCAGAAGAGCCAACAGTGTAATTTCCAGTCTGAGTGTGAATCTGAAGGCAAAAGACCAATTTCCCATCTTGAAGACAGGGCAGAGAGCACAAATTCTTTCTTATTCTGCCTTTCTGTTCTATTCAAGTCTTCAGTGGATAGGATGAGGCCCACTCACATTAGAGAGGGCAATCTACTTCACTCAGTCTACCAATTCAAAAGTTAATCACATCCAGAAACACCCTCACAGACACACCCAGGATAATGTTTGACCAAATATCTGGGTACCTTGTGGCCCAATCAAGTTGACATAAAATTAAAAATCACACCAGGGTTGGTGTTTACATGGAGCATTTAAGTTTAGCGAGCAGCTTTATATTCTGTGTCTCTTTTGGCCTCCAGAATGACCCAGTGAGAGGCTTATTACCCTTCTCTGTCACAGGCATCACCAGCCTGGCTGTTTGAAGCCAGTCATGTTTGTGTTAAACCCAAATCTCCATACTACGAACTTCTTCCCTTTCAGTGACAGGAAGTCTGCCCCTTTTCAGAGTTCCACTTGCCCAGCGAGTGAGAGGCTTGCAAGTCTGTCTTCTGCCTCTAGTACCCTGGTACCCTGTATTCATCTACGCTGATACTTAGTCAGCAGGGAATTGTAAAAGAGGTTGTCCTGTGGGCTGAGAGCTACATGTAGACTAGATATCCTTCAGCAGCTCAACAAAGGCTGAATGTAACCCTGATGTCGAAGGAAGGTAAGGACTTGACGTAGACACATGCCTTTGCTGGGCTTCCATTGGGTGTGAGGTGTGGGGTAGATTGGAGGAGGTCAGGTGCAGTGGGCAGCACTCCCGTGGACACTTGTACCCCTGCTGTGGCTATCTTTGTCTCATTGTGGCACAGTGCATGGTTTTAACATTTAATAAGCCTTTTGTCATTTTAATCACGCTGGTGTATCAAGGCACTCCTGGGTATTTCTGTTTATTTAAAACCCATTGTGAGATGTTCTGTTAAAGTATGTCGTAGGAGAAATATGATTTATTAATTCAAAAACAGTCACATCCTCATGCTAAGCTTGGAAAACGGGACCAATCAGCAGCGTTTCTCAAGCCTACATTTCACACAGTGCGCACTCTACCTGGCATCGCAGCCACTTGTGAACGTGTTTGTCTACTCATCTGGAAAATGCCATTTTAGGCTATGTGTCCTCCATGCCTCACATGGTGCCTGCACAATATAGGTGTTTAGTTACTGTTGCTAGAATGGACTGGACTAGAACTGGTGCTGGGGGGATTGTCACACAGCCATGCTCATCTCAGCTTTACTCTGGCAAGCATGCCCAGCCAGCACATCACAGACAACATGTTACCTAGTGTGTGTCGTGCATGTGCTAGACACTGGGAATACACTACTTATTCAGGCACAGCTCCTGCCTGTAGAGAGCTAACTGGGGGGTGACAACCAACCAGAGTTCATCTTGAGAAGCACTGGAAAAAAGAGATGTAGAAAGAGGGCCTCAAAGACACCAGGGTGATGCTGGCATCAGGAGGCATCAGTACTAGGGGTTTGTTGGGTGGCAGAGTGGCACTGGACCTCAGAGCTGACTTCCATAGCTCAGCGCTTCTTTTCTCTCATTGGCTTTTTCTGCAATTCTTCCTGCAGAGCCTGTGCCAGCAGTGAGACAGAGAGTGAAGCTGGAGACATCATGGACCAGCAATTCGAAGAGATGAACAACAAGCTGAACTCAGTTACAGACCCCACTGGCTTTCTGCGGATGGTTCGCCGCAATAACCTCTTTAATAGGTACGTGTAGGGCCCTTTTCCAAGGCCCAGTGCAGGGCAGGGTGCTCTAGCACAGATAACATGCTGTCAGCAGATGTTCCTTCCAGCTGGTTAGGCTTCTGGCTCATGTCATGCATTTGCAGAAGTGGGTGTGAGTCTACCACGGCCACATGCTCATCCGGGCTTCTGCTTCACAGCAGCACCTCAAGCTCAAGTGAGAAAACAGTGACAGCTTGATGTGACAATTCCCTTTTGACTGGTTGAGAGGCCCAGGGGATGGTTGGCTGCTTCTTCACGTAGCCTCAGAGCTGACTTCCCGAGCACCAAGCAAAGCTAGACAGAGTAGCTCCACATCCTTCTTTGCCAGCTTCTCCAGGTAACATGGGGCCAGGCACCTGTGCTGACTTCCTGGCCTGAGATCCAGGGAGATTAGGGAAGGTGGACATGCCAGCACTGTTGGAGGGAAACTGGAACCAGGAATCAGCTCCTCCAGACCCAGACTCACCCATCTGACCAAAGAGACCTTAATTAATGGCTTTAGGATGACTCAGGGTAGAGATTGCCAAGCAAGCACACCCCTTCATCTTTTGATAGGAGAGATACAAGCTGGGTCCAGATAAACAGGGGCGAGCGGTCGGGTGGAGGGACACCTGTCCTAATGTCATTTGGTTTCCTGGCAACAAACTGGGAGTCACATTTTGATAAGCCTCTCCAAAAAGACATCGAGGACTCTGTAGGTCCCTGCCACAGCCTGAGGGCCTACCTCTGAAGGACAGCTGATTGACCCTAGAACACAGGAGGGAAGTGACTGTGCACTGAGTGGGCGGCAGCCTCTGCTTGGCAGCCCTGCTGTGCAGGGCATTGTGTGCCCTGTCTGTTCCTACTCTGGGCCCTGGTTTCCTCTCATTATTGTGCTGTCAAGGTGACAAACTGTGTTTATTTCCCCAGGGCTGAGCTGAGTGGGAACGGAGCCAAAGGCCGGAGATGTAGGAACCAGTAGTTTGGTTGAAAGGAGGCCAGAACTTTAGGCTGGTTCACCCCAGTTCCTTCTGCTCTGTCACCTTCACAGGTGTCCCTCGTGGCTTTTGGTTTCTTGTAGAGACAAGACCAGGTGTGAAGAGGCATGATATTGGGCCTGGCTCATGTCCTTGCAGTGCCAGCTTCTTGGCCTGTGAGGCAGGTGATTCTCAGTGCTGCCAGGTGGTGTGATTTGTGGTGGCAAATGAGTGCAAAGAGCTCGGAGCTCGGGCCCTGGCCTGACCACTTGCCAGCTGTGTGACACTGGGCAGGCGATTTCACCCCTTTCAGCCTCAGTGTCCTCATCTCTGGAATGGGGATAAGCTTTCTACCCTGCAAGTTTCTTTGAATGTGGAAATTAAAGTAGCTAATATATAAAAGCACGCTGACTGGCTTCTAATGCATAGAAGGCACTGTACACATGGTGGCTTTCTACTGTCTTTAGTAAAATGGGAAGAACAGTGCTAAACTTGAATTCTTAAGATAATGTGGATGGATAAACTTTGGAAGGATGAAATTTCTATGTGCCTGTGCAGCAGGTGTTAGCTGCCTTGGGTTGTAGCCTCACCCACCCTTCCTCTATCTATCCCACTTCACGTCCTTCATGTGAGAGAGCTGCCAAAGGCAGACCATCAGGCGTCCGTGGCCAACCTGATCGCAGCTGAGAGCCCCTGGGCCCTCTGGCACTATGGATAGAAGGGGGCAAGCCAGGTATATATGGGAGCCTAGCTTATCAACCCTGGGATGGAGGTGGTCTGAATTTTGGTTTGTGGAGTTGCTGATTATGAGAAGATGAGCACTTCTGAGGTAGGTCCTATAAGTACAATACTGTGGATTAATTTGTTCATTTAAACAGTGCAGTCTGTGCCCCAGCCAGGCTGAGTACTAGCCCCAGTGCTGGGGACTGGAACCCAGCTCCCTTGCAGTTCCATCCTCAGGAAAGCAAAGGAGTTGGAAGGGGTCTCTATAGACGCTTCAATCCTGATCTTTTAGAGGCTACTGAGGGTGGACTGATGAGGGAAACAGCTGCATTCCTTCAGCTTCAGTGCAGTGAGCTCTGAAGGCCCAGGACAGTTTGCAACACTGTGTGTTCACTGCTGCCTTCCTGACAAGCCCACGAAGAGGGGGCTCTGGCCTGCATCCACAAGGGAGCAGAGCCGTAGCTGAGCGAACTACAGAGGCAAATGTATCCTTCTTAGGTAAAATGTGTGAGCCCTTGCATACTGCCAGTGCAGCCTCACCTACCGCCAACCAGCACAAACAGACTTGGAGGGTGGAGACCTGCCCACAAGCAGGTGCCAAAGCCACATTTCAGGTTACGCCTCCCAGCTGCCCTGCTGGCCCCCGCCTTCCCATGTCCCCTGCCTGCTCTGGGGTCCCAGGCTTCCCTCTCTGCCCCTTCCATGGCCAGGGGTCTGGGCTAAGAGGTGTTCTGGCTTGTCACTGAGCAGAGCAGCTAAGAAGTAGCTTTTCTGCAGACTCCTGCTAGTAACTCAGGCTTGCAGAGCACTCGTCCCCTGGAGCCCACGAGGTGAAGTAGAAGCAGCCATGTGTGCAGGGCCCTGTGCGCTGGAGTAGCACCAGCTCTCCTCTCCAGGGGCTCTCTAGCTCAGTGATTTTATGGATCTCTTGGCACCTTTGTTCCTGGGCAGTTTGCTAGACTGATTTGGTGATGAGATTGCCATAGCTAATGCAAGTCAAGCAGACCTGACTTTAGAGTTTTTCTCCCTTGCCACTCCAGGAATTGGTCTTTGTTCTGCCTTTGTTTTTGAGATCTCTGCAACCACTATATTTCTTCTTGCCTGTGTACTTTGGCAGAGTACACATTTGCATTTTGAGCCCAGGGCAGTCACCACTAGTGAATGAAAAACAAGGACACTTCCCTTCCCTAGCATCCTGCCCTGCTGTGGGCCAGAGGCAGAGCAGCAGCCCTGGGCTTTGGAAGGTATGCTGAGGACTGAGAGGCCAGCTTGTGGGGGTCGTGTGTGTGTGTGTGTGTGTGTGTGTGTGTGTGTGTGGTGCATGTGGTGTGAGGGGGGTTGTGTGTATGTATGTATATGTGGTATGCCATGTATGGGGGGTGTGTGGCATGTGTATGGTGTGTGTGGCATGTGGTATGTATGTGTGTGTGGTGTGTGTGGGGTGTGGTATGTGTGTTGGGGTGTGCGTGTGTGTGAGACTGAATCTGAAGGTAGTCAGCAGATCACATTTGCTGCAGGAAAGAGGAGGAAGAACAGGACAGGCTTTTAACTGCATCCTGGATCTAGGCCTTAGGGCAGTGCCTGGGCGTGAAAGGTGCACCCATCCAGGATCAATTAGGACCAGTATCCCAGAGAAAGATTCTGACTCCTGTTGCCACCACTAGTGCAACGTGCATCATAGGTCTTTAATTATTCATGTTATGGATGTATGTGTGACATTAACGCGGGGAGGGGCTTTTCTGTTTCCCAGAGATCAGTGGCTAGAGCCAAAACAGAGAACAAAGTGTTAAGTCTCACCGTTCTGAAGAGAGGTGCTGCTGCAGGGCCATGCCTGCCTGCAGGTCTCTGCACATTCCACCTGGTACTCCCCACACACTCCCAGTCTCTTATAGAAGACTGGGTGGGGAATCCACAAGTGAGAATCTTTGCCTGCTCAGGGATCCTCCCAGAGAATCACTCACAAAGACTGAGGTCCTGCAAAGGGGAGAAAGGCATCCCCATCTTGTAGGGCCTGGGAGAGAAGAGACTAAAGAGAGGGTCAAGGAGAGAGTGGGCGGGCCACAGTGTGGTCTGCACACCCATGTCTAGTGTGGCACAGATGTGTGTATGTCGCATTGGGTGGGTCCTGTGGGCTCAGCGCCTTGTTGTTTCCCCATCCAGGAGACTGTCTGCTGGGCAGGGGACCTAAAAGGCAAGTTATGGGGTGTGCAGCTAGTGGCAGAGTAGAGGGGGCTCCAGAGGAGCCAGAGCTGGCTGCTGTATCAGGGGGTACAGGGGAAGCCCTGCAGGAAGCCTCCGCCCCTCCCTCCTCTGCCCTCTGTACCAGAGAGTCAGACTGTGACCGTGGGGAGTGGGGAGCACTCCCAGAGCCTGCCCTGCCCTCCAAATCCCTGAGCAAAAGCCTGGCCTGCAGTGGAGGCAGGCGGGGATGAGGTGTGACTGCATAGGAGGATTTCCTAAAGGTGCAGGGAAGGGAGAGGCAGCAGGACGAAGTGAGATCAGGGACTGGAGAGAAGGAGAACTGTCCCCAGAAGGGCAGCCCAGCCAGTAAGTTAGGACTGGTGCACACATGTGTTCCTCTCTATGCTGTGCGGGGGAGATAACGCCTACTGATAGAGTTGTTATGAGGGTGCAGTAAATGTCACGATAAATAGATAGATCCTGCTGGGAAGCAAGTAGTTTCTTTCTCTCCCCACCTTGGATCTGAGGTATCTGTGGCACCAAAGGCTCTTTGGGGGGTTGGGGGTGGGGTTGGTGAGTGAACCGCTCAAAAGATCCAAAAGATCAAATATCCACCCAGAAACCTGATTGGATAGCTTGATGATGCTTCTCCTTACAACCTCTCTCAGGCCACCAGATTCCAGAAAGATTGAGTAACTGCAGAGTGATGACCCAGTCAGATATCAGGGATAGCCACAGCCCTGGCCTTGAACTCTTGAAGTTCCATACCCAGCTTTCTGGCCACTGTCCTGCCATCCTGCCCCCTGCTCTTTGTTGGCAGCCCTGTGACTCCTGGTCCCAACAAGAGCTGAGTGTTCTCTACATCTCTGACCTGGACCAGCCCCCTGTCCATATCCACCTCACTGTGCCTACTTCAGGCACTGTGCCTTACCTGCTGACAGCCACTCCAGCTGTTGGATCCAGTCACCCCACCTCAAGTGGGAGCCCCTGTCCTGGCATTCCATCGGAAGGCACAGCCAGCCTCCTTAGGCCCCCCTGCCTGTCCTGATGCAGTGCCTCGAGGCACCAGGCTCCCCCACGTGTTGTCCACTCACCAGGTCAACAGATCCCTCCCGTGCCTGC